ATGATACGCGGGTTCAAATCCCGCCGAACGCCTCGAGTTTTTTCACAATTGGGTCAACTCAACTTAAGCAAATCTGCCAAACCTCCTAATAAAGAACTTTATGTCGTGTGACCACATGCCGATCTCGCGATTGCGTTCTGAATGTACGCGTCCGGGTCCTTAATCGTCCCCATTTCGCCATCCATTTGGAATGTTGGTGTGACTTTTACTTAGCGATTTGGCTTGCGCCTTCCCAATGTGGCTGATTCTCGTGCCCAGGCATCATCTCAGAATAGATGGTCATTATGCTTATTAATGGACTGTGGGCCTGAGAACGCTGACTTGCGCAGTTCGCAGCTTACACGATTTTCCTCTGCTGGGAGGATTTCAACTTCATGAAACGTTCCCTGTCTCGGCCTTTTAGTCAATTCTTGTGAGGTTTCGCGTCACCGAAATAAAGGATTCTTCTAACTCAGCCGCCTCCTTGGATTGATTTGCCATGGGCTCATATGCGCTCCACTCTTGAGTCCAGATGGATCCATGGCAGCCCGTGATCGGCACCACAACCGCTGGCTCGTCTTGCTTTCGACTATCCAGCGTACTCACGTGCGACAATTCACTTCACATGCTCTTTCACCCAGTAAACTCTGGCCAATCTTATTCGTTTTCCCCGACTTCTGAGTCGGGAAACCTTCTGCTGTCGATTGCCCCACCTTTCGACATACCTAGTTAAAGAATCCAAATCCATCGGTCCCAATCAAACACTGCATGTCAAACCGATTGGGTTACTTTTCAAGAACTTGTAGTGGGCTTAAGCACCACTGTGGAAACCCGTGATCGCCGAATCATCACGCCAAGGCTGCAGTCACGCTAACAACCCGCACTCTGGCTATCTCTCGGTCAACGTCTTACGCGACCTGCCAATTACCATCAAGGCTGACTGAGACAGCGACAACTTTCGGCGGCCACCCGGATTACTGCCGCTAGACCACACTACGGACCTAGCCCGCCTTGTGGCTAGACGTGCGCTCCGGCAGGCAAGACTTCGTCTTAACTATTCTCCTTTCCGTTTTGTACAGAATACACTCTTTCTGGCACTCTGGCCTTCCCATGACTTCTCTCTCATCTCCTAAGGAACCAGGCCTGGAAGATCGAAGCTGTTAGGATTAGACCTTCTAAGCCTTAACACTCCTCGATAAACTACCTACCTCTTAAGTAATTATGGCTTACGGAGATTTGCCTGGCAGTAGGTCTTTAAAGAATTCATGGGTGATGATAGGCGATTAGGTTTAAAATTATTGACTATGCATTTCGGGTTTAAGACTACGGTCTGGAGTTAGGATTTGGGGGTCTACACGTACTTTTATGTATTAGAGTTCAGTTAAAATTAAGAAATGAGGTTACAGCTAAGGTTACGTGTTGGGGTTTGTGGATACCAACTGACGAATTCCCCAAGTGAGG